TTATTGACAGAGCAGCTGTCATAGCAGTTAGCTATGGAAAGACCCATTAGCTCATCTGAGCCCACCTCCCTGCCAGGGCAGGATATGGGTCCTAAAAACGCTTCCTGGTTTAAGGAACTGCTTTGGTGTTTATTTACCCTGGGTTACAGCAAACATGGCTTCAAAACACAGGAAAGAGTGTCTCATCTTAGTTAATTGTGATAACAGTTGCAACAATGTAGTGGAGGCGTTGTGGAAGTGAAGTTTGCGTTTCCATACAAGGCTGCGGTGGAATCCCATTGACTACCAGGGAGCTGAAGTACACAGTTGTGATGGCCCTAGCAGGACCTCGGGAGCTGGCCTACTCCTGCTCTCACATTCCATAGGCCACCCGAAATAAAGGAAATTATATCAGCTTGTGAAGTTCTTAAATTGGTTTTAGTTCACTGAACTATTTTGGGGCAAATTAATTGTTCCATTTGCCTTTCATTATGGCCAGTACTTAAGACACACTCAATAAATGTTTAATTAATTAAGACTGAGCAGGAGCTCAATGTATTCAGGAAGGAGAAGAAGGAAAAAATGTGCTAGGATACTTAGGTTCATTTGTATGAAGAGCACTGGGTTGAAAAACGTCCTAGCTCAAACGCAAGGAGCACTTCCCTACTACAAATGCGCTGTTCATAACACAGAGAGCTACCGCTTACTGAACACTTACTTTTTTTTTTTTTTTTTTTGACAGGCAGAGTGGACAGTGAGACAGAGAGAGACAGAGAAAAAGGTCATCCTTTTCTGTTGGTTCACCCTCCAATGGCTGCTGCAGCTGGCGCGCTGCGGCCGGCACACCGTGCTGATCTGAAGCCAGGAGCCAGGTGCTTCTCCTGGTCTCCCATGTGGGTGCAGGGCCCAAGCACTTGGGCCATCCTCCACTACACTCCTGGGCCACAGCAGAGAGCTGGACTGGAAAAGGGGTGCCGGGACAGAATCCAGCGCCCCAACCGGGACTAGAACCCGGTGTGCCGGCGCCGCAGGCAGAGGATTAGCCTATTGAGCTGCAGCACCAGCCACATTTTTTTAAAAAGTTAAATTTTGTTAACCATCCAGTATATATAGCCCTGCCAAAACAAAAACAGGACAATTCTCACAACTAATTCCTTCGATTTATCCTTTGTTATCAACAAGGTGTATGATCAAACTGAGAGACACATTTAAACCACTTTATGGTAAACTTCACACAGTGAGTGTTTCCTTTTCATAAGCTCCTATATTTTCCCCTAATTAAGCATGGTAACTTTTCAGTCTAAAAATTTATCACCATTACTCTACCTTATTCTACTTTCTTCCTTCTACTACGAAATCTACCACTACAATAACACTACACTTTAAAATGTGGTCTATTACACTAACCGATAGAATAAATAAAGGGGAGAGTGATCCAACATGGGAAGTGAGATACTCAGCAGACTCATAGAATGGCGGATGTCCTAAATAGCACTCTGGCCTCAGAATCAGCCCTAAAGGCACTCGGATCTGGCTGAAAAGCCCATGAGAGTATTTCAGGCATGGAAAGCCAAGACACTCTGGCAAAAAGATCTCTGTGAGTGAGATCCCAGTGGAAAGAACAGGTCTTCAAAGAGGGAGGTGCCTTTCTCTGAAGGGAGGAGAGAACCTCCACTTTGACTATGACCTTGTCTAAACAAGATAAGAGTCGGAGAACTCAAGGGGCTTCCATAGCCTTGGAAACTCATGACTGGTGCATAGGGAGATTACTGATGCCATAAACAGGAGTGTCAATTTGTAAAGTCAACAACAGGAGTCACTGTGCACTTACTCCTCATGTAGGATCTCTGTCCTTAATGTGCTGTACACTGAGGCTTAATGCTATAACGAGTACTCAAACAGTATATTTCACTTTGTGTTTCTATGGGGGTGCAAACTGTTGAAATCTTTACTTAATGTACACTAAACTGATCTTCCGTGAAAAAACGAAAAAATAAAAAAAAAGAAACTATCAATTCCCAGCTTGACTCTCACTGGGATTAAACATGACAATAGGTCTGATCTGATTTCATCATCATTTAAAAAAAAATCATCTATTATTTTTCACTTTATGTTTCTGTGTGGGAACAAACTGTTGAAATCCTTACTTAAGGTATAATAAGCTGATCTTCTGTATACTAAGATAATCGAAAATGAATCTTGATGTGAATGGAAGGGGAGAGGGAGTGGGAAAGGGGAGGGTGGTGGGTGGGAGGGACGGTATGGGGGGGAAAGCCATTGTAACCCATGAGACGTACTTTGGAAATTTATATTCATTAAATAAAAGATAAAAAAAAAAAAAAAAAAAATGTGGTCTATTTAATGATCCAAAGAACTAAGGTAAAAGGTGCTTATTACCTATTCAAATATAGCTTACCTACATCAGACAGTGTTTTGCATTAAGTTTTTTAAATTTCTGTGATGTCAAGTAAATAAAAGATATTTTGGCCCTGGTACAACCAGCATTTATAATCACAAAAGATGTTCAGTAATAATTTTGATCAGTGCTTATGAACTAATACCTTTAAAAGGTAATATATTTTTTGCATAAATTTGTTGAGGGGTTATTGATTTTTTGCTTCAGTAGACAAAAATTTAAATAATAATCTGATTTCGTTACCAGCAGTATCTCTCCTAATCCAAGCTGAGCACGTCCCAAAGTTTGCCAAGACTCCCATGAATGTGGATTGCACTGGACAGCCATTTCTGCCGCATGTACTGCTGGAAATATTTCATGAAGAGACATTAGGACCTATAAACCAAAAAGAAGAAAAAACCTGTCATTAATATACATAAACTATCAAAGTACTGACTAATAACCACCTTTTATTCTTTATAAATATGTTTTTAGTCTGGAAAACACAGCATTTCAGTGCATTTTTTTACCCCCTCCTCTGTCATTGAGAATCAGAAAATACAGTCGTCTTCACTCCTGAAATAACTAATGATGTTAAAGCATTTCCTTTCCAGTTATTGAACCTTACATCCAGAGGGTTAAAACCAAGCAGTCATTTTCTAGCTATGGCAGCTCAGAGCTATTTCAACTCCCAATCTCATTTTTATTTACTCTGTTTACAATATAGTTGATAGGGAACACTGGGTCTTTCTGGTAAACTAGGTAAATTAATTTGTTCAACCAGACATCCTGTGCCTAGGTAACTTCTTTCTGCTATAAAAATAATTTAAAATTCCATATGCCTTGTCACAAGTGCACTTTTCAAATCATACAAACCAGAAAAACCAGAGTTCCGGAGCCTTCTACCATAGGCTATAAGAAAGGACTGGAGTTTGTCTATAATCTTTGGGATCATTAACATTTTAGAGGATTTGTAATAAAAGCATCAAGTTCCAAACTAAATCATCATACAGTTCCCCACAAATCCTGCTATTATTATGTAACTATTTAAAACTGAAAATGTAAAGCATCCCAATGATAAGCCCCAAAACACTTCATTCAGTGAATTGAGTTGGATATTTATTGGATAAACTAAAAATCAAAGCTGATCAAAAGAATGTCCACATTGGATATTATCATCTGAGAAATATTTGTTAAGTATGCAGATCGAGCTGAATTATAAAAATTTCCTTCTAGAAATATGGTGAATGCTCTGTTGGAGACCTTTGAAGGATCTTGGCTAACCTAACTGAGGTGCTTGGGGGTTTGCTTTATGGGCTGTCCCACAGAACCTTAGTAATTTATTTTTAAAGCATAATTGCTATTTTTAAACTATTGATAAGCTACATATATTCTGACCTAATATATTTTTTAGAAAAATCTCATCCAGAACCCAATCCATGAACATTTTAAGGAAAACAGACTTATTGCTAAGTCTATTACAACTAATTTACAAGAAAAACAGACATTTTTCATTTATTTAAGAGATCATCAATAATGACTTTTTAAAAGATATCCATCTGCTCATATTTTATCATAGTTTAAAATAAGTTAACTACACTGTGAAAACAAATTAATTTCTAATTTGATGCAAAAGGCAAATCCATAAATACTATAGTGAATTTTTTCCCAAATAAATTATATTTGAAAAAGAAAATGAGAGGGAATGCTATTTTGGTCCATCACTGCTTACCAAGAAATGTAGTAAATTTCATAACATAAGCTCTTCATAATTATTACCTGTGATTTCATCTCATATAAGGTAGCATCATTTGGGGTTAACTGGAGTGCTTCATCCCACTTCTGAATTGCCTCACGATACCTGTGGTTATTAAAGTCACATTAATGTCATCTTTCTAGTAAGTCTTTGAGAACACATGAACAAATTTAAAAATCAGTTACTAGGGAATAATTGCTTTAGCAAAAAAATTTTGATTCAGGGACTGATGATAGTGACTTTTTTTTTTTTTAATTTATTTGACAGGTAGAGTTATAGACAGTGAGAGAGAGACAGAGAGAAAGGTCTTCCTTCTGTTGGTTCACTCCCCAAATGACCACTACGGCTGGAACTACACCCATCCGAAGTCAGGAGCCAGGTATTTCTTCCTCATCTCCCACGCGGGTACAGGGCCCAAGCACGTGGGCCATCCTCCACTGCCTTCCCGGGCCATAGCAGAGAGCTGGACTAGAAGAGGAGCAGCCGGGACTGAACTGGCACCCATGTGGGATGTCGGTGCTGCGGGTGGAGGATTAACCGACAGTGATGTTTTAAAAGCAGGAAAAATGAAAGTGACGGAAGAAAAGAACAACAAAAGGAAAAAAAAAAAAAGTGGCAGGGGCCCAAACATGTGATCTATCTTCCGCTGCTTTCCCAGGCCATTAACAGGAAACTGGGTCGGAAGTGGAGCAGCCAGGACTCAAACTGTTACCCCAAGGAGATGCTGGTTTCACAAGAGATTGCTTAACCTACTACATCACAATGCCGGCCCCCAACAATGTTCTTAAAAGTCACACATTAAATATCTAAGAGCTCCATTCACTGAAAATTTATTTCTCTATGAAATATTTTGCCATTTTCAAGCAATTGTGGAGCCAGGATTCCCAAAATGGGAAGTAATGGTGGAGATATGGAGTCTGATGGGCTGCTGTCAGCTGTGGAGAACTGAACAGCAAAGAAATGGAAATTATGTAACAGAGGGAAAGCGATATGCCAGAGGTGCGCAGAAGCAGCCTGCAGACAGCAGAATCTTCCAAGAGTTCTCTATCTCATTCAGAATAAACATCAGTGTTCTCAGGGGGGCCAGTGTTGTTTTATAACATGTTGAGCTGCCACCTGCATCGCTGGCATCCCATAAGGGTGCCACTTTGAGTCCCAGCTGCTCCCCTTCTGATCCAATTCCCTGCTAATGTACCTGGGAAAAGCAGTGGAGGATGGCCCAAGTGCTTGGGCCCCTGTACCATGTGGGAGACCCAGATGAAGCTCCTGGCTTCATCCTAGCCCAGCCCTGGCCCTTGTGGCCATTTGGGGAGTGAACCAGCAGATGGAAGATCCGTCTCTTCTCTCTTTCTCTCTAACTCTGCCTTTCAAATAAAATAAATAAAAATAAATAAATAAAGCCAATGTTTTCACTATGATCTACAAGGTTCTACCAGGTCTGGCTCCCTTTTCTCTCGCTCTACCTTTACTTTTGGCCAGGCCCTTTAACTTCCTGCTGTAGCCCTACTGGCCTCATTACTATCCCTCAGATACACCAAACAGCCTTCTGCCCTAAAGCCTTTGTACTGCGTTTCCTTTCTCTAGAGTGCACTTTCCCTAGACAACCACATAATAAGTATTGTCACTTCCTTTTGGTGATTCAAATGTCACCCTCTCAGAGAAGTCTGTCCTAGCTGCTTTACCTAAAATTCCATTAACCTACCCTCCAATATATCCTAATTCCCTTCTTACTTTGACTCCTAATACTTATCTAAAATTATACACACTTATTTCTGCTGTTTATTATCCATCTCTCCCACTAGAATATAAGGGTAAGAATTTTTAGATGTTATTACTGAAGTAAATTCCCACATATAGAACAGAGCATCAGATGAAGAAGTTACTCCATAAATATTGAGAAAATAAAGAGGAAAAGAGCAGATGTACAGATGATAGCAATCTAACAACACAGACACTGCCTTCATCCCTAAGGATTTCATTTCAGGTTCCTCAACACTAGGCTATTTTCAGAAATTTCCTTTTGATACAACTATAACCATTCATCTTTTTTATTTTATTTAGACATGATTGGGTTTTTCTTTTATGCAAGAGCCAAGGCTAGAAAAGTGATGTTAAGTATGTGACACCCACCTCCCAAAAAAGAAAAAAAAAAATCCATAATTTTTCTAGCTCTTCATCCCCTCATTACTTTTTTTTTAAAGATTTATTTTATTTATTTGAAAGAGTTACAGAGAGAGGTAGAGACAGAGAGAGAGGTCTTCCATCCACTGGTTCACTCCCCAGATGGCTGCAATGGCTGGTGCTGAGCCAATCCAAAGCCAGGAGCCAGGAGCTTCTTCCAGGTCTCTCACGTGAGTGCAGGGGCCCAAGGAGTTGGGCCATCTTCTACTGCTTTCCCAGGCCATAGCAGAGAGCTTGATCGGAAGAGGAGCAGCCGGGACTAGAACCAGCACCCATATGGGATGCCGGCGCTTCAGGCCAGGACTTTAACCTGCTGCGCCACAGCATTGGCTCCAATCCCTTCATTCCTAATATAACTACTCTTTTTCCTTAAGATTTATTTTATTTATTTGAAAGACAGATACAGAGAGAGGTAGAGACAGAGAGAGAAAGATCTTCCATCTGCTAGTTCACTCCCCAAATGGCCACCATCGGGCAGAGCTGAACTGATTCAAAGTCAGGAACCAGAAGCTTCTTCCGGGTCTCCCATGTGGGTATAGGGTGCTATCATTTCTTTCTCCTTTGGTCTCTATGCCTTTCACAGAGCTTCCAAAAGCACTATGTTGGGACACAGAATTCTGAGGTTCACAACCTCTGTGGTCCATAGGACCCTATGAAAAGGACCCAGGGGACAATTTGCCATTTTCAGTGAAAAACAAGTGGAGATTCCTAATGATGATGACTTCGTGTTTTGGGTTTGGATTTGCTGCACATTCTTACATAGAACACCATGAAGAAAAAAGGATGTTTCAGGTCATCCACTTAACAGATAACAAAGAGCATTTCAAGAGGTTTAATCTCTTTGAAAATTAGATCAAACTCTTGAACTCATAGTATAATAAGTATGTTTGTAAATAAACTTATAACATGAAGGTTTAATGCTTCTTCTCTGATAGAGGGAATGTGATAATTGAGCATGCACCTACTTTATTATGTGTATAATATTCCAGCATTTGTTAATCAAGGTTTGTACAGTTTACTTTAGCTTGTTATTTTATTTAATTTTTTCTTGTTTGGATTAAGACATTGTTGGGCATTTAGGATCTAAAAGAGAAATGCAAAGTTTAAAAAAAAAAAAAAAAGGAAAGAAAATCACCTGAGCAATCAATGCCATGGGCAAAACTTTTAAAGATGAAATAGCTTTTGCTCTAAATCAGAGAGCCATACACTTCTTCTACAAAGGCCATAAAAAAATATTTTAGGTTTCGAGGGCCAGATCATCTATGTTCCAACTACCAAAATCAGCAGCTACAGAAGAAAGCAGCCACAGACAACATATATGAGTGTGTTTGTGTTTCAACAAAACTTTACAAAAACAGACAGATTTGCTCAGCCAGCTAGTTTGTAGACCCTGCTTTCAACTGAAGTATAAGCACATAACAATCATTAACTATGCATGAGCCTTGATTGGATTTTAACATTAAAATATAAGCTGCAAAACACTTATGGACAACTTCAAAACTAAATACATATTTGCTATTAGATTATTTTAGGGAATAAATTTTAATTGTCTTATGTTTTAATTATATTGTGGTTGTACAGGAAAATGTCCTTATTGATATAAAATAAGTAAAGTTTCAGGGATCAGCATCCATGATGTGTACAATTTTCTACCAAATGTTTCATAAAATACACAGAAATAAAGCAAACTATGTATATGTACTATAACAATTGCTAAATCTAGAGGGTGAGTACAGGTGTCCACTGTTTAATTGTTCAACTTTTCTGTTTATTTGAAATTTTTCATTATAAAAAACAATTTTAATGGAAAGCAATATGCATGTTTCATGTGTGTGTTAAGCATATTATGCATTTTTACATACATTTACACACACACACATAAAACCTTTAAAACACAAGTCTTATTTAAAAAAGTAAACTCAAAAAAGGGGAATATAGCAAAATATGATTTAAAAACACTTTAAAATTTCTTTGAGAGGCAGAAACACGACAAAAAGGGAGAAAGAGAGCTCTCACCTGCTGAGTTGCTCCCCAAATGCCTACAAACCCAGGGCTGGATCAGGTAGAAGCCAAGAGCCAGGAACCAGAAACTAAATCTTGTTCACTCATGTGAGTGGAAAGGATTCAACAACCTGAGTTATCAGTGGCTGCCACCCAGGCTGCCAAAAGTATGCAGTAGCAGGAAAGTGAAATAGAGATCAGAACCAGGACTAGTATCCAGGTACTCTGATATGGGACACAGGCATCCCAACTTAACCACAATGCCAAATGCCTGCCCCTCAATATGATTGTTAAATGCAGTTTGACCCAGAAATTTCATTTGTACAAATCTTTCTTATAGACTAATTAATACACATGCACTCTTAGCTATCTGAAGACATTCACTATATCATTTTAAGAATTATCACTTCTCATGGAATAGGAGAAGGAGCAGGAGAGGGGAGGGTTGCAGGTGGGAGGGAAGTTATGGAGGGAAAAAAGCCATAGTAATCCATAAGCTGTACTTTGGAAATTTATATTTATTAAATAAAAGTTTAAAAAAAAAAGAATTATCACTCTCCAGTTTTTACTTAAGATCAAGTGTAGAACCATTTATAAAAATTAAAGATGAAAATAGCCTTCCTCAAAGACAGGTGGTTATATTATTATAATATATCATATAACGAAATACAAGTACTCTGTTATATCCAAACCTTCCAGGTTGCTGATTTTAGATAATAGGAGTTTGGATAATGAGAGATGTACTATACATTCATTAAAATTTTTAAAAGCAGTTCTATAAATAACAATACAAAGTGATCTTTAAAATACATTATATACGGGCTAGGGCTGTGGTGCAGTGGATTAAGCTGCTGCCCGCAGTGCTAGCATCCCATGTGGGTACAGGTTCATACCCTGGCTGCTTCATTTCCAATCCGGTTCCC